GGAAACCACTTCCAAAGGATATATTTAGAAGAAATAAGACCAAAAAAGATAAAAGATGATAACAATGTTGGAAGAATTGTAGGATATTTATTTTTATTTTATAGGGTATTCTACATTTAGGGGTTTATCTTAATTACCTTAAGGCTTTTATTGATTGTTATACATATTTTTTTTCTTAGTAGTGATTGTATAGGATATTTTTAACCATGTATTTTGTAGGGATGGCAAAGTGGGCCATGGCCCGCGGGCCGGTCCGTTGGCCCGCCAAAAATTGGCGGGGTAATTCTCCATTTCAAAAAAAAATATTATAGTAATTAATATTGATATTAATATTAATTATAAATCATTATTAAAAAAAATTACTTTTGCCAAAACTTAATAATTATTATCAAAAAAATTTTATTTTGATGTAGAAGATGAGGATGAAAATGATTAAGAAAAAAAGTAGAGACATCTTCTTTTAAGAGAACTTCTAATATTCTTAAAATAAAAATTTAAAGTTAATTAATTATATTTAAACTTGTTTGTGGACTATCAAAAAATTTAGTGTATAAATAATTTGTAAGTTTATAATTTAGTTTTGATTTTGGTGTAAATGGACTAATTTCTATTTGATTTTGTTTTAAGTTTGTAATTTGTTTTTGTTGAACATATATTAAGTACAATATGTATGCATTTTTAATTTCATATGATTATATTTATTTATTTGTAGCAAAAAAAAATTTATTTAACCATAAAATAAATTTTTTTTTCCATTTTTTTTTATTTTTTATTTTTGTAAGCGGGCTGGCCCGCTAGCCCGCCAGCCCGCCCTTAGGCGGGACGGGCCAGTATCTCCAACCCGTTTTACATTGGCAGGCCGGGCCGACCCGCCTTGTTTTTGGCGGGCCGGGCCAAAACGGGCCGGGCTGGCCCGTTTTTCCATCCCTAGTATTTTGGATCAAGTAGTATAGGAATTTTTGTCTTTATATATTTTTTTAAAGTTGTAATTAATTAGTTGTTTAGGAAAGATGTAACTAAACCAGACCATGAACTTATTTTGGTTGGATGACCCAAACAAAATTCAAATCCATTAAGGTTGGATATCCACTTGCCTAAGCAAGTGGTTTGGACGTTCAAGCTTGGTGAGGAAGCCATTTAAGTTTGTTAAAATAAGTCACATGGCCTTGAAATTGACATCTCAACAAACTAGTTAAAAGTAATCATTAGGTTAGGTAGATGGAGTTAATTTAAGTTAACCTAGGTTATTTCTAAACTAGGATTAAATATCTTGCTCCATAAGCTTCTAGGAAGGTAACTAGAGTTGGTTAACTTAAGTACAAGATAACTAACCATGATCCCACTTAACCATGATTAGTCTAGCTTACACCATAAGCCAACCAAACTTTTATATTTAGGAATACATGTAATGGCCAAAATTTACTTTGGAGTTTATATGAATTAGATTGGGTTTTCTCTAATTCTCTCTCTCAAAGCTTGTTTTTTCTTTAAAACTTGTTTCATTTCTCTTATCCTTTCTTGAGTGTGGTGAGATTTGGAGTGACTTATCACTCCTAGAGTGTGGCATCAACCAAGAGGGCTTCTTCCTCTTCATATGTGTTGAATGATGTCTTCTAACACCATTGGAGACCATTGAAAAAGCTAGGAGGAGACCAAGGAAGAAAGATGCGTTCAAGAAGACTTGACGGAGAACTACATCAATCTAATCTCTCCAAAAAAAATTTCCATTAAAATATAAAGTGAATGAGATCTAAAGGCACCACTTTCTATTCCTAACTATCCAACAATATTAAAATGATTATACAAAGTAATTTAGCGAATTCTACATGATTTCATGAAAAGGAAGGGTAAAGTAACAGAAGCTATGAGTGGGACGTGGGAAGATTATAATTAAGCATTTTAGTCGGTTTTAATTAAACTAATCACGAATCAAGAAATAGTTAATCTACTGTTCATAACAGGTGCTACAAACTTATTTTAGCTTGAAAAGAAGGTGCATAATCTAATATTTGATAGTGATCTCATTTGGTTTTCATTTTCATCTTTTATTTATAAACCACCCAAAGTTGAGCCGAATTGCTTGCATATCATTATGATATTATCATAAAATTGAACATGTTAGCATGGGTTGATTTATTTCGAGGAAAGCAACAATAATAGAAATTAATTCTCTCCATTTTAAATCAAAGATATATTTCTTCTATCGGTAAAAAAAATGTTATAAAAATAACAACAAAATTTGAATCTAAAATTTATATATTACTTTGAGCTTTCATTCCTAAACTCACCTTAGTTATTCACTTAAAAAAATATGTTTACATATTGATTATACTACTTCCATATTTGAAGGTGTGGTTTAAGGTTGTAGTAAAAAATTAGAAAATGCAATTGTAGATATTACTCGTGCAATGCATGATAAAATTCAATTAAATAGATAAAATATGTTAACTTATATATTTTAAATTTAATATGAAAGATATTATAAAACAAAAGCTAACGAAACATATGATAAAAATAATTATAATGAGAAAATAGTATATTTAAGCGGATATAAACTATTAAGATAAAATGTGAAAGTATTAATAATCATAATATAATTAATAAATTTTCGAATAATTAAACTTAAGAATAAATATTCTATATACCATGTTTTAACATGATAATTTAGAATACGATCTAAATGACATCTAATTGTCATTAAGTTTTTTAATATTAAAAAACTATAAAAACTTGATGACACTAAATTATAACACTAAATATATTATAACACACACATGACATCTAATTGTCATTAAATTTTTTAATATTAAAAAACTATAAAAACTTGATGACACTAAATTATAACGCACGCACGCACAAAAAAGAGAGAAGAGATCTTTCAAACAATAAACTTTTTAATATGAGAAAACTGAATTAACATAGATAATTTATATTAAAATTATAAATAAAAAAAGAGAGAAGAGATCTTTCAAACAATAAACTTTTTAATATGAGAAAACTGAATTAACATAGATAATTTATATTAAAATTATAAATAAAATTATCATATATTATTATTATCGTAATTATTTCTATCATAATTATTATCATAATTGTCATTGTAATCATTTACTATTATCATTGTTTTTATCATGATTTTCACTTCTAGTGTTATTATTCTCTCTGTCACCACCACTATTATATTACAATCACCTTCATTGTCACACCGTTGTAATTATCACTATTATTATTTTTGTTATTGTTGTTATCGATAGTGACAATAGTAATGACAACGATGGTGCTAGTAGTGTAGATGTAAGGACGACAATGATGATAACCATAATGATGATAGTACAACTACATGTTATAAATATCATTAGAGTTAATCATTCATATACTATCAGTGTAAAAAATTTTACACTAGCAACCAATTATCTTTTAAATTATTTTATTTTACTTTTATTTGATTAAATGAGCAAATGACATGACATATTAAAATATATGATTGGTTGCCAGTGTAAAAAAACTTTACACTACCGGTGTATAGGTGATTAACTCATATCATTATATTTCAATTTTTCTCATTATATCTAATATATTATACATTAGGATTTTTATTAACATTTTTATTTCACTTAACAATTTTGTCTCCATTTTTTTTTGTTATCATGTTATTAGTTTGAAATATAATTTAATTTTGTTGATTCATTGAAGGGCTTGATTGACTACTTTTGGATGAATCTCTCCTTCTATTGACTAAAGTTTATTAAATTCACATGATTTTATTACTCACTTCTTATTTAATAAGTTTTACTTGTAATATTTTTGAGTTTTAAGTTTTTAAGCAACAATAAAAAAGTGTGTTAATTTTTTTATAAATTTAAAAAACTTATAATATACTAAAATTATTTACTAACATACCTAATAACAAAAATATTTACTAGCATTTCTCTAACATATAATACTAAGTTTTTATTTTTTATAATAATTACTTTAAAATATATTTAAATATGGTAAGAAAATATAAGTTAGGCATCTTAGAATATAGTTAAAATTGATTTTAGTTTTGAATTTTAAACACAATTGTTTTTTATTTTGTATTTTTAAATATAGAAATGTGAGTAACACTAATTTTAACACTTTTTTTTACTAATATTTTCTCTATTATTAAATAGAAATAATAATTTTTAGTGAATTTTATTATTAAATTGAAAAATATTCATTAAATAAGATGTGAGACTCATAAAATTTATTATTTTTTTTATTAAATTTTAATTAATAATAAAAAAAATTTTAAAATGGAATTGCTAGCATTCCTCTTTGCACCGAGATAATTTTCATCTTTATTTACCTATTTCCTTTGATAAGACCAAAGAGAAAAAAAAATACATGAAACAAAATTATCAATTTTAGAATATAGGAATTGAAGTTAATTTTGAGTTGTTACACTAAAAACCTTTACCCTATATATTAATTTGTGATTAATTAAAAGGCAAAATTTTCTAGAGAGATGTTAACATTTTTTTTTAATCTTTTAAGAAAATACAACTCTTTCTATTGGATCAATTAAAGATAAAATGATACATTTAGATAGGATTTCATATTTAAATTAGAAATTGAACCAATCTTTAATTAAAAAACATAAATAATAAATTATTTGAACTTTTAGTAGAGAAATATTTTTGGCTACACTCAGCAAAATTTAGAATTTATATTAAATTTGAAAAAGTTCTAGAAAGTAAGTATTGTATTTGGAAAAAAAAAAAAAGAAGGTATTTTTACCGTTAGAATTGGCGCCACTTTCACGGCAGGCACTGTAGCTGTAACGTAATCTCCACACCACAACTCCCACTTCCACACTGTACAGTACACGCTCACTTCTCACCATCCACGACACCGTCAACAGGTCCTTAACATGACGTGGCAAAAGCTGATTGGTTGGTCGCATAGTTCAATTCGAAGAGTAAAAAAAGTATAACGAAATAAGTTCAATTAGTCAACCAAAACCGAGTCAACACCGAGTATCAAAAGCGCGCATAATTGTTTCAACTCTCCTCTTCTCACAGCATCTTTCTCCTATGGTTAATCAATACAATCTTATATATATTCGCACCATTTCTTTTCTCTCTTATTTTCTCACTTTTTACCTTCCAGCAAATTCTGCCAAAACTGCAAGACTCAGGTTAGTTCCTGTCATCTGAAGAAATCAGTTCTAGTCCATAGAGTATATTCTTGTATTGTGTTCATTGAGCTTTGGATCTGAACCATTTCATCCGATCAGAGTTAATGTAATAATGTTTATGTTGTGATACATGTGTAAGAAGAATTAATTACTAATTAGGTATTGTTTATCGATTTCACCGCTGTTCTGGTCAATGAATTTTGGTTTTTGCACAAACCTGAGGGATTGAAATGGAGAACGAATTATTAGTTCGTGCCTCTCTTACCCCAGCGTGCGAGTTACTTTCCCGGACCATCTCTACTATATTTGACACCGTCAAAGCAGCTAATGAGGTTGTCATTCACAAGGAGAATTTTAAGAGTTTTTCTGTTCACTTGGAGAATATCTCATTTATGTTGAAGTCTTTAACAAAGGAAGACATACACAACCCTGGGAGCTTTGAAAATGCTATGAATGGTTTCAACCGAGAGATTCAAGTTGCTAAGCAGCTTTCTGTTGAGTGCAACAATAGAAGTAAGATTTATCTTTTAATCAATTCCAGAAAGATCATCACATGCTTGAATTGTTGTACCAAGGATATAGGTCGTGCAGTAAGCCTCATCCCTTTGGTCTCTTTAGACACGGGTTTAAATCGAAAGATAAGTGAGTTATGTCAGAAAATGTTAGATGCTGAGTATCAAACAGGTGCAGCTGGTGAGAAGATTTTAGAAAAGATTGAGACGGCAATACAAGAGGGAAATGTTGAAAGGTCGTATGTGAATCAGTTGCTAACCTGCATTGCAGACGCCATTGGGATCCCCATGGAGCATGGTGCTTTGAAGAGAGAATTTGAAGAGCTGAAAAATGAAATGGAAGCAGCCAAGTCAAGGGTAGATATGGCAGAAGCTTTACATATGGAGAAGATTGTTACAATGCTTGGAAAGGCTGATTATATAACTTCAGCACAAGAGAAGGAAACTAAGTATTTTGAAAAGAGAAATTCTTTGGGAGAGAGACCATTGGCGGCTCTGCAGTCTTTTTACTGTCCAATCTCTCTTGATATTATGGTTGATCCTGTGGAGACTTCCTCTGGGAAGACATTTGAGAGAAGTGCAATAGAGAAATGGTTTGCTGAAGGGAACACTCACTGTCCCTTGACCAGGTTGCCTCTGGATACTAAAATCCTAAGGCCAAATAAAACTCTTAAACAGTCTATTCAAGAATGGAAGGACAGGAACACAATAATTACCATTTCTACCATCAAATCCGAACTTGAAACAAATGAAGATGAGGGAGTGATTCAGTCCCTAGATAAACTTCATGACATATGCTTAGAAAGAGACGAGCACCGAGAATGGTTAAAAATGGAGAATTACATCACTGATCTTATTGGACTTCTTAGTTCTAAAAATCGTGAAATAAGGAAGCGTGTTCTGCTCATCCTGTCTATGCTTGCAATGGATAATGCAGAGAACAAGGTACCTCATAAATCCTTCTCATTACTAACTATATACATTTTTAGATAGCTATATGTAAAACTGAAGATATCAACATTGATTTTGCATGAAAAGATGGTGATACTTCATTCTGGCAGGAAGATATTGCTAAAGTGGAGAACGCACTTGGATCTATTGTTCGTTCACTTTCACGTCAAGTTGAGGAACGCAAGTTAGCCTTGGAGTTGCTGTTGGAGTTGTCTAAAAGTAAAACGGTGTGCAGTCTCATAGGAAACATTCAAGGAAGCATACTTCTCCTGGTATCGATGTTAAATAGTGATGATGTTGAAGCATTCAAAAATGCACACGAGCTGCTGGAGAACCTCTCTTTCCTTGATCAAAATGTTATAGAGATGGCAAAGGCAAATTATCTTAAGCCTTTACTGCTGAAACTATCAACAGGTATTCCATAAATGAGAAACGCCCTCTAAAGTTGTGATTTATGTCTTGATCAGCATTCTTGCAGATTAGGTAGTTTTAGAACTTCAAAATAGTGCGTTTTTGCTTTTCTTTTTATGAGAGGGGGGAGGGACTTCATTTTTAGTAGTTGGCATTGATCTCCATTCAGCTCTTTGAAGTAGGATTTAATGCAACATATTCACATACTTATGAAAAATATGAATCCACCTCATCTCATTTATAAAATTATATATGCGTTAATTGCTTGTGCATACAGACAAAACACTTTGAATTCGACAATAGTTACAAAACAAAACAGAGAAGATTCCTATGTTGATTCTTGTTTTGGTTCCTTTCTTAATGTGTATAAATAATCACTTATCTGTTAAAAAAGAAATTAAACGCGTGTTGAGTGCAGAAATGTGCATCTGTGTACTGAAACAATGAAGTGAAGGTGGACATACAATGAATATCTAACCTTTTGATAAAACTTTGATACTGAAAATCGAAGTACAAAAATTTATTCCTAAAATGAACAAAATTTAAATTTTCAATGAAAGGGAACCTTTATGGAACATGAAATGCATCCAAATGTACTCATTGATTGTCAATACTTATTTCCTTGATGTAGGACCAGAGAATATGAAAATAGTCATGACTGAAACTTTGTCCAAAATTACATTGACCGACCAGAATAAATTGTCCTTGGTCAAAGATGGGGCACTGCAACCACTTCTTCAGCTGCTCTTAAATAATGATTTGGAAATCAAGAAAGTTGCTGTCAAAGCTTTACTACAGCTCTCAAGCTTGCCAGAGAATGGCCTGCAGATGCTCAAGGAAGATGTTGCTCAACCACTGTTGGAACTTCTTTACTGTAGTTTACAGTTACCTACTCTGCTTGAACAAGTTGTTGCAACAATAATGCATCTTGCCATATCAACAACTCACCAACAAGCTGAAGCAGAACAGGTTTCATTGTTAGATTCTGAGGAAGACATATTCAAATTCTTCTCTCTAATTTCTTTGACAGAAGTTGAGATACAAAACAAGATTCTCAAAGCTTTCCAGGCATTGTGTCAATCTTTCTATGGCTTCCGCATCAGAAAGAGATTGAGACAGGTATGAACTTTTTTTCAAGTTCCAAATTTTAAAGCTATTAATGTTACATGATTAGGGAAATAGAGAGGAAAAACAAAGTGGACAAAAATGAGAGCAGAATAAGTTAGGGAAATTTTTAGTCCTGCTCCAGTACATAAAATGTTTTTTTGTACTTCATTTCACATATTAACTATGCTCATAATTTGAATAATTGTTACTATCAAACTCTGAAACAGATTATTCCTAATAACCTTAACAACAACAACAATAATAGTTGTATTAGTAATTACTATCATCCGGTGTATACAAGTGATTTCATAACTATAATTACTGCAGATCTCAGCCGCTAAGGTATTGGTCCTCTTGTTGGAGCTTAATACCCAAACAGTGCAGGTCAGTGCCTTGAAGCTTTTCTATTGCTTGACAGAAGATGGTGACTATGGCAACATCTCATCACATATTACTGAAAGATTCATTAAAGTCTTGCTTACCATCATTGAGGCTTCTAATGATGCAGAAGAGGTGGCTACTGCTATAGGTATCATCTCTAAACTACCACAGGAGTCTGAAATGACTTGGTGGCTTCTAGATTCCGGGGCACTTAAAACCATTTCGACTTGTCTTACCGATCAATACAAGCATGCCTCACACAAAAACCAAGTTGTAGAGAATTCTGTTCAAGCTCTTTTTCGTTTTACTGTCTCAACAAATCTGGAGTGGCAGAAGAGAGTGGCTTCGGAAGGCCTAATCCCAGTGCTGGTGCAATTGCTGCATTCTGGAACACCCTTTACCAAACAAAATGCAGCCATTTCAATCAAACAGTTTTCAGAAAGTTCTTACTGCTTGAGCGAGCCAATAAAGAAGCCTGGAATTTTCAAATGCTGCTTTGTAGCTCAAGAAAATGGTTGCCCAGCACACTTAGGCACCTGTTCAGTTGAGTCTTCATTCTGCATTGTGCAGGCTAATGCCTTGGAGCCCCTAGTGCGCATGCTTGCAGAAAAAGATGTTGAAACGCGCGAAGCCTCCTTAGATGCACTACTAACTTTGGTTGATAGCGAAGCACCACAGAGTGGAAGTAAGGTGCTTGCAAATTCAAATGCTATTGCACCAATGATACAACTATTGAGTGTTCAGGCTCCCAGGTTGCAGGAAAAAATTCTAATAGCTTTAGAACGAATCTTTCAACTAGATGAAGTGAGAAATAAATACAAATCTTTGGCCACGATGCCCTTTGTAGACATAACTCAGGGGAAAGATAGCCGTTTGAGAAGTCTCGCTGCCAAAGGCCTTGCTCAATTGGGTGTACTTGATAAACAGTCTTCTTATTTTTAGTACTTGTATCACAATTTTTTCGTTACTTGTATTATAATTGAAGGCACAAGAATTGAAAACAGAAATTTTACACATGCAAAATTCCTGTTTTAAGGTTTATCTTTTCTCTTTCTCAACTCTATCCCAGATCCACACAGTTATGTTTTGTGGAGTCAGCGTTGTCCTGATATGTCCAAGGCATAGAAGAATCGAACTTGATGATAAGATTGCTCCCATTCTACTGGTATAATTCTAAACACTGATTCATGTTCAGCGCCCAATGCATTAGATTGAAGATAACATATACGAAACACTTTCTTGAAAATATTGCACACAGTGCAATAGAATAAATATTTTCATCTCACAATTGACAACATTTCCTAACTTTTGCAGCAACAGGTGCAAATGAAGACGACATTTCCTGACTTTTCCATTATTGTTCCCATTTCCGTCGTCAGTTGATGAAAGGTTGAATTTGGTAACTATGAACTGTAAATGGTTTCGAGGGAGTTACTCTAAGGAAGATAACAAGTCCTTGGAAAGCAATCCGTTAACTTACGCTTTCCATTGTGCATAGTGATACTGGATCCGTACCAAAAATACTGGTAAATAAAACCAACACGATTAAAAAAATGACATGTTACACACACATGAAAATTCTTTTTCATGATAAATCCAGATCAATGTTCACCAAAGATACAAAATAATATCATGTTTTATATCAGTTAAGAGAGAATCAAGTTACAATATGTTATATGAAGGGAAGGTCGAATCCAGTTTTGTTCTAGAGAAAATTCTTTAGGAAATTGTAAAAAACCAAGAAAGTGAGGGAAAGTTGCTCTGCTTTTGACAACCTTAGGTGCATCTTCATTCATCATAGTAAAGTGCCTAACGAGGAAGCATATTTTTACTTGAGGTGAGACCAAGAACTGCTAATCTGGCATCAAGTGAGCAATCCAACATTCCAACCTTACACGGTTACTTATTCATATCAAAGGCCAAATATTGTAATAATTTTTTGATTCTGTTTTTTTAATTCTGACCATCGTAATAATTTAAGTATTATCTAATAATTCAACAATACTTATTCTAAAAAATCTGTCATTCTCCTTGGCTAATAAAAAAGTAATAAATAATAAATATTTAAAATGGATAAAGAAAACAAAATATTAAAAAAAATCATCAAGAAGAAAAAAGTTATTTAATGAAAAATACAGTGAGTTCAAGAGTAATTAATAATAAATGCAAATTTTGAAATAAAAAATAAATTAATTACATAAAATAATCCACATATATCTGTTTTATTTTAGATGGAAAAACACATCTGAAGACAATTTTGAATATTTTTTTCTTTAATATCTATACTAATATATAAAAGGAATACTTGGATGTGTAACTACTTTTGGTCTCTACTTTTTAATAAACCATTATACTTCTCAAATATAAATTTTTTTTTTATATATCCTTTATAAATAATTACACACAATTTCTTAATATTCTATTTATGTATAACTATTAGAGCTACGAAGTACTCCTCTAATATAGTATAAATGAAATCTCTTTATTTGATTTTTATTCCTTTAGACATTTATGTCCTTTATATATATATATTTACAATTATATCTCTTAAAGATAAAATAGAATATATATATATATATATATATATATATATAATTATTTACTCTATCAATAATAATTACCTTCTAATTTTAATTTTTGCTAATTATACATAATCTTACTTTATTAACATTATATGATCTTTATTTTTTTTATTTTATTAACTAAGTGCTTCGATCAGTAAATAAAGATAAAAATTAACAAAAGAAAAAGGTACCTATAGTATGTAGAAATTCCAGGTGTCGGCCCATAAATGCTTATTACGGACCAAAAAGCCCATAATGATTGGGCCCACGAATGGTCCAAATACAGAAACACCAACGAGAGATGCGCGGTTGCGTTTGCATCTCCTCTCTCTCTCTACAATTTCCCTGTCACAGACACAGATTCACTCCGAAGCTGAACGCTGCAGAAAATGTTCAAAAAGTATGCTCACTCTCTCTACAGACATATCTGCAAAATTACACTTCGTGGATTCTGATTTCATTCAACACTTGCTTCTATTTCTTTTTAGTTTTTCCCCGTTGTTGTTTTTCGAGGTTTTGTTCGCAATTGCTTCGTTGATGGGGTTGGCGTAACCGAAACCCTAAAACATTTATTCATTTTTGTAACGGAACCTCCAATGCCTTCGTTTCCTTGCTCCTTCTTTCTCCCAATCACTCGATAACTCTATGAACTCGTGTTTCAGCTCTCTATTTCGTCTATATATGCATATGAATATGATCTTATTGCTTTCCTCTGCAAATTTTATTATAATGTTGATTTTTCAATGTTTACATGAAAGTTTTTTTTTTCTTCAGATTTTCAGGTGAAGATGTGTCTGCACAGAACCAAGTGAAGGCATCTGTTCAACGTAAAATACGGCAAAGTATTGCAGAAGAGGTGATGGCACTTTTGGGGTTGGCACTTTTTTTGTGAATTTTAACCCTAAATAATAACGTTCCTTGTTGTTGCTTATTGGTTTTTGTTGCCTGTGACACTAACCTCACTCACTCCACTGCAGTATCCAGGCCTTGAACCTGTGTTGGATGATATACTTCCCAAGAAGTCCCCTCTTATAGTTGCTAAATGGTTTGACTGTGATTCCTTTTGCCGTGCATTTTGCTGTGTCATATCTTTTATGGTTGCTAACTGGTTGTTTTTTTTTCTTCTTCTTTGTCTTGTAGTCAGAACCATCTCAGTCTGGTTCTCGTGAACAATGTGCCTCTGTTTTTCAGTGTCCGTGATGGACCATACATGCCGACGCTGCGACTGCTCCATCAATGTAAAGTTTACAGTTCTTGCATTTTTTTAACTTGTCTAGTGAATTATAAATATTTTGCTGGTTTTAAGGTGTGTTTTGACTGCATACCTCTTATAGTCCAATGATCTTTAATAAGCTATTGTAGGATGCAGCTGACTTTGGGTTCAGCTTATATAATGAAAAGGATATTGAAATGCATTATGTGGAAAAGTTATAGTTGCTTGAATAAAATTGTTTTGCAGATCCAAATATAATGAAGAAGTTGCAAGTTGACCGTGGTGCAATAAGATTTGTCTTGGCTGGTGCAAACATAATGTGCCCTGGTCTTACATCTCCTGGGGGTGCTTTGGATGAGGATGTAGGGGCAGAATGTCCTGTGGTACTGCCATTGTGTTGTGTATATTAATTGTAATGCATAAAGTAAGCATTTTCTAGTGAATTTATATCAACTTTCATCTCACCGTGTATTTATCTGATTTCAGGCCATCATGGCCGAAGGAAAACAGCATGCTCTCGCTATTGGCTTTACAAAAATGTCCGCAAAAGACATGTAAGAAACTTGTCTTATCTCATCTTTTGATATCACAGGAATTTTATTATTTATTTTCTTTGCTCTTCCTAACATTCATGAACATGATAGTAGGGGTTAAACTGATCATCCACCAATCTACTCCAACTTTTTACTCTTGGTTTGGTTTGGGTCGCATGAGTACATGAGTCAACTGGAACCAGCTTATACCATAAATTTGATATAAATAATTTATTTTTCCATTTCTCGTTATCCTCTTACATCTACAACATCTCATGCAATCAAGGGTGGACCTACTTATGTAGGTAGGGGGTGCAACCACATCCCCAAACAATTTTCTCCTAAGTTTCTATGTATACATTTCAAAGCACGCCCCCTCAGATAGTGTTTACATGAGTATGTATTTAGCACCCTCATCTAATTCTTTTTCAGTCTCACCAGTGTGCAATAATGCAAATAGCATTAGCATGTCAATCAGTGAAGTACATGGTGAATGCTTTACTATTACCTTCAATTGACGACTCCGGTATTTGTTTGCATGTTACACAAGTCTTCCATTAATGATTTTTGGACAGAATATTAAGACATGAATCTCGTAGTCTGTAACTATGATAGAACTGGTATCATACCAGTGAGAAGGAACAGTTTTTTTTTTATTGAATGAAATGAAGTAGAAGCCCCTAGGAAGCAATGCATGATTTCAGATATTTCGAGAGGTCTAAGTGTACTTATACTGCTTTCTCAATAACAGAAGTCCCCCCTAAAGCCTTTACAGTTATTCCATTTTATAGGCAGCTACTGGTCTACGGCTTATAACCAAAATGCACCCTTAATGGGCCTAATTAGTTGCAAGCCCATCCCCTTTGTTTTAACATTAACCCGCTTGATCATAGGCCTGCTATCATCAAACTAGCACCAGCTCTACTGGAAATTCAACATTGTACCTTAAAGCTGGAACATCACTGGACTTCCAATAATATCAATGTTGCTTGCATGATGCCTTAGCATTTGTTTTCTATTAAGAATAAAAACTTGAGGCTGATCTGGAAGTAAAGAGAAGTTATGAGTTATGACTTGATTGGTTCAATCTCACTGAAAAAGTTTAAATATTTCCGTGGTTTCAGAAAAGCAATCAATAAGGGAATTGGGGTTGACAACTTGCATTATCTCAATGATGGTCTTTGGAAGGTATGATTGATATATGCTTTCCTTCTTCTTCTTATTAATATTAATAAAAAAAAATATAGTGCTCATTTGTGTTCTTTGATGTAATTACCTGCAATAAATTAAATACCATGACTTTTATTTATCTTTCTTTTGTTGAAATGAACAGTAACACATTTTGGCCTTGAACATTGAAACCAAATCCAATTTCTAAAGCATTTTTTTTTCCTCCAGAAATCTGCACTCTCCACCCACTGCTTCATAGTATATTCTTTGCTGATTTTTAATATATCATTATCTCTTTTCTATATATTGTAGATGGAGCGACTTGATTGAAGATGTAACAAGAGCTTCAATGCCTACAAATGATTGACGAGTTCCTGTTTTCTGGACCTTGATCCAGATCGTAGGGATCTTATGCGAACTTGTTTATTTGTTTTGTTATACCGTGTAAACAGTAAAGAAATGAATTTTGTTGCAGAGAGTGCTCTCTTTTAGTAACTATGTAGATTTCATGTAATATGGAATACACTCTACCTGTTGAAAATACGAATTTTTGCTTATTTTCGGACACCAATTGAATATTGGAAGTTGGAACCATGCACGGAAGTCTATTCAAACCAGATAATGCCATTTGATCTTTGTTGCATACCACAAAATTATCTTAAAGACCTCCCAACCTTAAACGATCGCGATTCGCAACTGATCTAAAGTGTCTGATTGATTGATGGGAAAATTGCCTTTTGAAAAAAATTAGACTTTATTGCATTTATGTGGAGTCATTTTTTGCTTTCTCATTTTCCTCTTATTCAATTTCACTCTAATCATGCGTTTTCCTATGTGGCTCGGTCTAGAAGCAATATCATCTTCCATGGTTGTTCAAGAGTGAAAAATACAGTATTCTTATTATCCTACACTTTTGATGCTCCTATAATAAGGTTTAAATATGCTTTTTGGTTCCCCCAAGTTTTTTTAATTTTTTGGTCCCTCTTTCTAAGAGCTTCATATCAGTGCTTCAAAAACATGTCATTCACAAATGAACCTTGGGTTATATTGTCGTTTGATCGTGCTGTAATACTTGCGTTACGCGGATATCAAAATGGAGTGAAAATTACATGTCATCAAAGGTGGCCAATGCACAGATACACGTGGAAGTTTTGTTAGAGCATCTACAATAAGCAACTCCCAACCACTTTAAATGGGTCCCACTGTGCCACGTCACTCATAAGCAACTCACATTATATTTTTACAACTTTTGCTCCAATGAAAATTGCTTATAAGCAACTCAACTTTTTTACAACTCATTAAACTTTTTGACACCTCAATTTTTTTACAACTCATATTTCAATAATAAAAAAATTACATAATAAAAAATATATCAAAATTATATATTGCTATTTTTCACATATTAAAAGTTAACTTTCATTTTTTCATCAGGTCTGTTATGCTTAAATTACTCAGAATATTGTTTCCCCAAATTCTTACTGGTTACTAGCAACAGAAGGGGAACAAAATTGCAAACATAAAATAAAATCACAGGCTTCTGGCGCACGGGGCGGAGGGGTCGCGCATGGGGGCGGAGGGGTTTGGCCGGTGGCTTCTGGCACGCGGGGCTAAGGGGTTCTGCCAGAGGGTTCTGGTGCAGGGTGGAGGCAGTTCACATGCTGGGCGGAGGTTGTTCTCGAGCGGGCCGTCGGAACTGGTTGAGCCGCGCGCGCGGGGCGTACAGGACTTGCCGGAGACACGCGATCGGCGACGCGCGAACGGCCACTAGCGACACGGGCCGGCCTTGCCAAACCTCCCCGGACGAACGAACAGGAGGTGAACCATGGTTTTTTCTATTTTTTTTTCATAAACGTGGTCCATATTCCACGTAGATCAATTTCAACCAATGAAATTCTTCTTCTCAGTGCTAAGGACTGTTGCTTGTACAAGCAACTGAGAAAAAAATTTAAGAAACTCAGTTGCCATGTAGGACAACTCCAATGGAAGATTCTAACAAGCATCGTTTCTTATCAATAAGCAACACTCTAAGCACCTGCCGCTGGAGGTGCTCTTAGTGACGGTTTATCTCGTTTCTCATATACTAAGTAATAACCCTTCGTATTAGGGTTGTCTTTACAAGGCACTGCGACCCGAATGCCATTGTACACCCGAGAATCTTGCACAAAGATACGAAGATGTGCCATCCATGGTTTTATTCAATCGTTTGTTTGGTCAAGGGTAGTAAATAACTGCAATTTAGAGGACCAAAACTATTGTCATTTTTTTAGGCTATTCCTTCGGTGCCCTTTTATTTGAAGGGGTTGTGGTGCCCCTTATATGAGGGCGAATCATAAATTGACATTTGGCATTAATGACGTGACTCACCATTGACCGGGAAATGGGTGATTTGAAACTTTAACATTTCGTAAAGGGACAAGTGGGTAATTTCCCCGAAGGCTATCAACGTAAAATTGCCCTTCTCTGTTGAGGGCTTCGTATTGTCGTTGTCGTTTTTGAGCCACGTTATTGAACTATAAAATTGACGTTTTTTGGTGAGGTGGTTGCGACTGTGATTTTTGAATACGCACGAAGACTCGTTGTTGTTCTCCGGCGAAGGAACTTGGTTTGTGAGGCATAAAGCGTCATCATCTCCGATGAAAAAATTGTTCGACGAGGCATTTGACTGGAGTGGTTACTTGTTGGTGTCGGTCATACATGTAAGTGTTATGTTCCAGATACCTTTTCCGTAGTTGTGTTCCCAAAAATAATATTTTTTATATGGTTCGGTTTGTTTTATGGGTAATTTGAAATTCTGATTTAGGGTTGTTACTTTGATTGTATTGTTTAGTAATATTTGTGTTCAATTTTTCACATACTATACAGATGGCAAATTTGAATGATGAAGCACGTGTTAATTTAAGTAATTTTGATATCAATATTGAGTTTAGGGTTTAATGGAATGAATAGATGAGAAGTGTGTGTAATTTGTTAACTCCGTTTGAAACCCTAAAGTTAGACTTCTCAGAGGAGTTAATTGGCAGTGTGTTCTTTGAAAGGCATTTTTGAAGCCTAAAATTGCCTTTCTCCACTGAGTTGTTCGTAGTGTTGTTTTTGAGCCTAGTTTTTGAACCGTAAAATTGGCATTTTCCGGCGAGGTAGTTGCGACTGTGATTTCTGAATCCGTTTTGTGAAGCTTAAAAATGGCCTTCTGGTACGATGTGGTATGTGTCAGAAAAGTCGGTGAAGTTGTCCGACAAAGGAAGTTGGTTTGTGTTCCCTAAAGCGTGATGTTGGACGACAACGAAACTCATTTTTTGAAAAAAAGCAATAATTATTCCGACTAATCCGTGGTGTTTTGTGACGAAGCAAGTGACGACAGTGCTGGGTTATGTGTGTACTCTCCATTTTGGTAAGTTGTTGTTTTGCGGTTTTTGATTGTTTTAGCATCGAATTTGAGTTTTGTTAGGTTTTTTTGTGGTTGACGATTGTACTACATCATATAATACGCGTTGGATGCATAATTAGTTAGTGTTTATATTTTTCTGTAAGCTGATGTTCTTAAGTAATTTGTTAGAAGGATTGAAGTTGAATAATGATTTTTAATATTTGACAGGGAAATATTAAGATTAAGTATGAATGAAATAAAAATTTATTTTGAAGCATATTAGAAGATATCGATGTGGTGTATTTCTAGTAGAAATTTTTGGTAGGTTTACATTATTGTGTTACAGAATTAAGTATTGTATTAATGTTATATTTCATTGAAAAATATAATTGTTGAGTAGTGTGTTATATGGTTTGAGTTTTTTTTCTAAAATTTGAGGAATGAGAGATAGTTTACGTTGAATTGAAATAAATGGAATGCATTTACCCGAAGTGTTTAAAAAGAAATAGAATGATAAATTGTTAGTGCAGGAGGTATGGTATGAATTGGATTGACATATTTGAAGTTGGACCCAATGTGAGTCATAAGATATGGTTGAAAATTGTTTGAAAAAAATAGTGAAAACATTTTTACTAGAGAAGAATGTTTAATTTAGTGTGTTTTCATTGTATATTTTTTTTGAAAAAGGAAGTGGACGTGGTCTAGCATATTACTATGAAGAGGGGGATCCTAACTAGGTTAGCACCCTGCTTCCCATCAATCATATGCTTCACATCCGTAATGCTGAAATTATAAGAGAATGAAAAGGTACAACGTGGGGGGACCGAACCATAACCCACAATAAAGTGTGATACAAAGAAAAAGGAAAAAAAAACAAAACCAAAAGTAAATTGTTCATAAGCCAAGGCCAATGAACTACATCAAAACATAATATCCAATCAAAATCAAAACAGCCAAACTAGTGCATACATCAAGATAGTTTGGAAAGTTTGGCTCTCCTAGCTCTAGTTCTAGGCCTATTTGGAGAGGCTTGTTGTAGCCTAGGAATCTGGACTTTTTTGGGAGTGTGGGATCCATATCTAAGTGCTACATCCAGTACACGCATATCTTGCTGGACCACCGGATCAAATTCTGCATAATCGTCCATGACTGTTTCATAACTTGGCTCCGGCCTTAGATTACTACGAAGGTGAGGGAAGAGTTCCTTCGGTTCCTCTTCAGATTCAGAAACTGCTTCAACAATTGCAGCAAAATTCCATTTAGAATGACCTTTGCTAGTGGCTGCCATATTTATTTTAGATGTAACATTCACTGACCCTGCACCAGCTCCCTGATTAGCTCCAGATCTTTGACCCGAATCCATGTCATGCTGATTTTGATCATTGGATGCAACAGCCCCTACATCACAATGATGTGGTATATTGTTTATATGAACGTTGTTAGATTTGTTAGTGGCATATTGTTTATTATATGAGGCATAATGATGTGGAATAATGTGGATAACGGTAAACTTATTTGTTTTGTTTGCAATGGTTGAAGGATGGAAAAATGTTGATACATGGCATAGTATAATGTATAAGATAATTTTAATGATAAAAAGAACTTTTAACTTAACCAAATCAATTATTATGAAATGATATCCTTTAGATAAAATACCATATATGAAATTGTACTACTTGTATCATACTCATCCTCATGTTGTATGAAAGACTTATAAATTTCCTACAACTGTCAAAAATAGATGAAGTCGTAATTACATTTAAGTTTATTACGTTTATATGAAATTAACATTTTTCAAAACACATATAGTTGTAACATATATAACATGATAGCAATTCACCACAACTAATACAATAAATGAAAATAATTAAATACATGAGTAAAAATAATATACAACCAAATACAAAATATGTTTATATATAACGCTATATTATTCCAATATAAAATATTGAAGTACTTTATGAAGTTTAGGCTTGTGAATCATTGGTAGACATTAAAATTTGATATTAATGATATTATAACTTTATAATATTATATCAAATTGCATATTAAAAGTTAATAATATATACTTTCATGAAGTAAAAAGTGTTATATAATTTTTAATCTTTATCAATTGTCATTTGAATGTTATAAATTTCATAACTTATTACATTAACAATATATACTTTTATTAATTAATAAATTAAATAAGTTATTGTTCAATTTTTGTTGA